GCTCCGCCAGCAAGGAGTGCCACGGACGAGCGGAGCAAATTAGAAAAAAATAAAAAATAAAAAAGGCAACGCTATGGCAATTACTAGAACTAAGGTTCATTGTTCGAAAGATTCCGAATGGATTCGTCGTCATTCTTTAGCTGTAGCTATCTTTTTTTCAATGCTTGCAGTCTTCTATTGTCTATTTCTCATGCTGGATTCAATTGACGTATTTAAAACTATGTTTCATAAGCTTGCTTTATCAGTCGGCAATCAAGCCTTCTCGAGGCTCTTGCTTAAGAGTGGCTGCTCCGTTGGTCTGACCTTGGCCAGATGTTTGGATTCGTTGTCAGAATGGCCTTCCTCGCTACCGAGGACACGACTTTGATGAGCAAGAATATGATGGATAACCACCTTGGCTGGACATCGATCTTCGGAACCAGCTCTGGCGGAAACTCGGTGGGCTCGTCCGATTCCGAAGCGAGCGTAAATCAACCGGCGCCCGACTCCCCGGAGCCGGAGTTGCCCCTGAGGTTGATCAGCCAGATGGAGGTGGGCCCCTCATTCCTGAGCTTCCCAATCACTTAATTCCCATTGAGGAGCGTCTGAGGGAGTTGGGCCATCGCCTCTCAACCAATTCTCTTTGCAAAAACTAGACCCCCCAGGAATGGGGCAGCATCATAGCTGCGCAGGCAGTTGTAGAAGAAAGGATCGAAGCCGCTTTAGTTCGCGATGGCTTTAATGCCCAAGCAGCCATTTTGGCCAAAGGCCACCAGGTAAGGGGCTTTTTGTTCTATTCAGAGGGAACTAGTTTCACCGAACAAACTTACCTAAATTCTGTAAAAAGTATAGACAGCCATGGTACTCGCGCCTGTGTTCCATACAAGCGAGTCATCCAAGCGATACGGCAACATAATTTATCCCTTTAAGGGGCTCGCAGAATACTTCAGTGCAGTAGGACAGATAAGTTAGCGGTAGGGGTCTTTCCTCTCCGTTACCTTGTTGGGTCAACCAATTGCATTACTTCTTTCGGAAGCTTATTTATGTATTTATGTGGGATTCTTTCTGAAAAAGCATTCTAGTTGTGCTTTACCTTTCTCCGCTCTCCCCGGATGTGAGAAAGATTCTTCCTATGAATCTCGACCAAGACCAGCCCTTTCTCCTATAGACCTTCAGATGAGAGAGAGCACTTCTTCGGGCGGATAGGAGGTTAGTTCTGGTTCAAAAGAGGACGACAAGGATTTTCGTCGAAAGAGATGAGCGAACTTCATCAGGCTAGCTGGCTGGAGACGAAACCGAATCAGACAGGAAAGGAGTCTCGGGTGGCGGATCCCGGGTTAGCCTCGTATTAGCGGAATGATAGCCCGAGGAAGATCGCAACCGCCTGTGCAACAGCAACAGCGTCAAGCTTGGCATGATAGGCAGTTACGTCAGAAAGCAATTGGAAAAGGCTGCTTAACAAATTTGACTTAGCGCCTGGAAAGCTTCAAACCAAGTGGTTAGAACCATACAGGACACATAATGGCGCAGTTCGGTTATGACGATTTACAGGGTAATTTTCTTTATTTAGATAGGGGCACCAGTGAATCCTTTAAAGGTATTGGACTAAAACAGATAATCCGGTACGAGTAATTACTACTGATTTCAGTCATAAATCCATAGTAGATCCAGATGACCCGATAGACTGTCCACACGACAAGTGTCCGTTTATCGTTACGGTTTCCTTAGAAAGTGGAAAAGGAAGACCAAAAGAAGCAATACAAGAGAAAGAAAGGGAAATATGGATCTCTGTTCGGGTCTCTCCTTCATTTCATGGCATGGCTCCGAAATGGGGTCTGCGGGCCGGCAACCTGATCGACCTAAGATCTACTTTCAAAGAGAACGAACGCAACTACATTTATTAATTAAGGCTTCTCTCTTCAGAGGTAGATAGTTGATCGAGGAGAAGGCAGGTGCCTAGCCACGAGTAAGCCTAAAGGTAAAGGATTTCGCGAAGCCGGTTAACAATCACTTTTATTCTCAGGCTAAGATCTTCACTACCTTTTTGGCAGAGCTGCCAAGCTTCCTATTCGTATTCGTACAGTTAAGAAAGCAGAAAAGCATTCGAACTTGAAACGAGAGATGGGAAAGAAAGCTTACCTTAAAAGAGCGGCCACGCCAAGACCTTACTTAATAGGATGATGCTTGAACTTTATTCTAAAAAAAGGGGGAGTACCCGAGGGAATAAGCCAAGGCAAGTGCCATAGATTTAGCTGTTGTCGGAAGTGGCAAGTAGTTTTTTAAGGAAAGGGGAGGAGTGCCGGTTAAATGGTTTAGGTTAGGAGTGCCAGCTCAAGGCGATAGGCATAGTGGAAAAAGGCTACGCACCTGAATCTGTTCACACGAATTGCTCAAGGTTGGAGGAAAAAGCACTTGTTTAATCTAATCTCCTGTCGAAATGGTAGATGGGATCGATCCCAGACTCGGTGAAAGGCGAGAAAGACCAGGCAAGCTCCATTGGCTTGGTTAAATACCTTCACGCTCTTTAGTTCATCTCGGTAGAACAAGGAAAAAAAAGCCTATGTAGTGGATTCGAGTCCCACAAGAGCGAAGGATGACGACTGATTCCATTGCCCTCTCTACTCAATGGATTGAATATAGTTGCGTAAAGCAGCATAAGCGCTAACCTGATCTAAGGAAAGAGGGGGAACGTGAAAGCAAGGCTATTCCGGGGCGTCAAGCGTCTGTAGGCTTATCAGCCATGAAGTAAGCATAAGCGGGAATAGGCTAAAAGGACGGTTAGAAGGCATCTGGAGGACCAGTTTTCGGCTGGTCATAACAATAACTAACTCTTAGGTATTTTATTTTATAGGGGGATGAGACTCCTGGTTCAACCAATCAATCTCTGAAGTGCAGGTGCTTTGATGGAGAGGGGGTTACTACTCGACTAATAAGTGTTGGATTGGAGGGGAACTTCTTTATCTTCCCCAACCGGGAAAGTCATGCTAGGGGAAGAAGTAGCTACGGTAAACTCGAAACTCTCTTTCTTCTTTCACTCATAGCTATCTGACTGTGAGGATTCCCCCTTGTATTCCCCATAGGCTAGGAAAATTTAGAGGCTCCACTACAAGTCTTGGAGCTAGGCAGCTCAGTATGGTATGAGGATCGAAGGGCATAAATCGAAGCTAACAATGGGGACTAGTTGTTGAATTCCTTTAGTAGGAATGACTAGCTCCGACCTTAAGGAATAGGTCCGAAGATGCGACTAGAACTGAAAGAAGAGGAAGGTTTTTCCTGGGTAGGACGGAGGGTATTCGACCGAAGCCTTAAAAGTTTCCACACCTGAGGGTGCATCAACCTCTTTTCTTTCATCACAAGAAAGGTTTGTTTGGAGGGGACAAGCGAGGCTAAAGGGTTAGGGGAGGAGTGGAAGAGAGACTTTCCCTTAGATAGGAGAGCTCGCCTAAGCAGTGTTGGAGCGAAGGCTGCTCGACTAGACTAATTGGGAAAAAGGAGGGGGGACACAGCTACCTTTAGGGTAGGGAGACATAGCTACTTTTTGAATAAATTCTCGAAGTGACAAGGAATGGTATCGACAGAGTGGAAGGGCCTGTGCTCAATAAACCACTCACCCACGCTAGGGCTAAGACTGAAAGTCGCTCTTCTGATTCATCCTGTCTTTCAAGGAGAGGAGTTTAAGGAGCTAGTATAGGTTCGAAGAGTTGCTGCGAGTAACTTAACTTCATCAAGCCAGGAAAGAAGCTCGACAAAGCCTGTGCGGGGGTAGGGGCGGAGAGGAAAGCTTCTGATAATATACTTTTGAGGTGGCATCAATACCAGAGAAGAGAGTAGGAATCCCCTCTTATGTAATTTCCCTCCTTCCGATTCCGATTCCGAGTCCGAGAAAAAGTCTTCGGTGGGGAAGACTCCTGCCTGGAGGCATTAAGGTTTGTTTAGTTTTAGTTTAGGCTGCTAAAGACTGACTTGCCCCAACAGCCGTAGCTAAAGGCTTAACCCATTGTTGAGTACCCAGATTCTTCAACCCCGACCTCAAGAGAATCCGGGGAAAGCTCCATATCAAAATAAGCTTGACCGGTAGCGGTAGGGGTTTGGGATATCTTCTTAGTTTGGGGCTAAGGCCTGTAGCTATCGGAGTTTAACTCTTCTCTTCACCGGAATTGGAATCTACTTCACTAGATGGAACAAAGATCAAATCTTCCTAAGCCTAAACTTGCCATGGAAGGGAAGAAATCCCTACTTTATTGAATTGAATACCGGGGCATATCTTTATCGGAAAGCAGTAAACGAGGGAACGGAACTCGACTTAGAGGAAAGAGAGAATCTTGTATTTACTTCGGAAAGCAGGCGCATAGAGGCGAGTCAAGGGAAAAGCTGTCAGCTAGACTAAAGAGGAACGAGACTAACAACCAGATCGACTAAAGGCGTTGGCTTACAGCGAAACTAGGGCTGAAAGGATCGGAGTTGAAAACTTTTTTACTGACTAGATCGACTAAAAGGTTTCAAGTAAGGGAGCCAGAGAAAGAGCTGATCTTGTTGCATCGGATCTAAAGGATCGGAATGAATTGAATCTGCTGCAGCAGAAGAGTTCGCATAATAAGCTGCAATTGGACAGCTTTCAATGGCCAAAAGGGAGTTTAAAGACTACACGGTTAGATGATTGAAGGTTAGGAGTTTAATTTTTAGCAAGATCCCCAGCTATTGAATAGTCGTCGACGTACTTCTTTTTTTTTTCTCCCGAGATGGGAATGGGAAGAATAGCGTATTTATAATAAATTAAATAAAGGAAGAGCCTACTTTCTTTCGTACTCAAGGGTTGAGACTGTCCTTCTTATACAGAATCCGAATCTGCTACTAAAGAAGAAGAACCTCTTCCAGATTAATCTTGGGTTAGAGTTAGCTAGACTCTGGGAAAAATAGACTTTCCTTCTCTATACGTACAGCCTCTCTGTCCTAGCCGCCTTTTATTATATTCTATGCCTCGATTTATGTTTTCTACTATACGATGCCTTACCACTTGGAAAGCGCGGAACTCTTAACGAAAGAATGGTTACTGGACAAGAATAGGCCGGCCAAGAGAGAGGGAAGGGACTGACGCGCGCATCGTCGATCAGGGCTATTTGAACTACTTCGAATTTATTGCACTCAAAGAAGACCAATTCAACAAGTGCTAATGCAGTCGGTCACATCTTCCTTCGTCAGTCAGAGCAGAGACAGCAGCGGATAAAAGAGCTGCTAGCCCCCTTGGTTGGGGGCTGTGCCGCCCTGCCTGGTCATCGGGCGTACCCTATCTTGAATCTTGAATCGAATCCGTGTCGGCATCTTTCCTACTGGCTGTTGAAGGTGCTGGCTGATGAAAGAGACATCCCCAGAATGCCCCCCTTTCGTGCCTATCTCACTTGTTTACAGCTCTTATGGGTCTTTTCGCTGCTTTCACATGATGCAATATCTGGGCCTCCTAGACCTGCTCTCTCGCCCAAGCCTCATAGCATTTATATTCCAAGCACTAAGTCTTCCCTGCCTGCTCAGATGCGTCAATCCGCCTATCGGTACCCTTTTCCCCGCATAGAGAACTTGTTTAGTTCTTGGTAGGAGGGAACTAATACTGTAGATAAGGTTCATTGCTATTTGCTCTCCCGTCACGCTAGCACTTAAGAGACTATCTTAGCCCAGAGTGAGGGATCACAATAAGGATTACCAAAAGTAGGCATGCGGTACCAGTCCACGACTACCATTTCTGTAACTGAACTTCCCTGCCCCCTGTCCACTCACAGTCTCCTTTTCGGACTTCAGGAGCATTGAGTAAAGGTAGGCACGGGGGCTGGAAGATCTACTCATTCAAAGGGAAAGCGCACCCCTCTCTTTAATCAAGAAGAAGAGCTAGTGGAATGGACCCTTTCCTCATGCCAGCGGGGGAAGGGAAAGAAAAGAGGCCCACTACGAGAGGAGAGAGTGATTCAGCTGCTAACAAGCGCAGGTTTTTCATGAAATGAATGGTTATTCGGGAAACGTCTGTTGATGAGGAGGTTTTACATAGTATCAAAAAGGAAACCTGGGCTCCGTTCGAAGAGACGAAGTTTGGTCCTTCTCCCTCACATGCTCCTTCCCATGAGCAACTCGGTTGGCTTCGTGAACGAGAACGCTGATCACCCTCACGCGGGAAGATGAACATTTAAAGGGCTGAAAGGGTAGCGACGGGATGTAGATGTTGATTTTTGAGGTCTTAATGCTACTGTAGTTATAATGCCTTCGACACGGTTGAGGCTTCTACTTTTCTTTGGTCCCAGCATGACCGACCAAGCGTAACGACCGCAGAAGGTACGGCCGAAGAATTAATCTCCAAGTCAACAGCATGTCGGGCAGGTCAAAGGTGATCCTCAAATCCGGGGAGAATCGATAGGAACCTAAGCGAGGCCGAAAAATTTATATTACGCAATCCTTACTGTCCATCTTTCTTTATCCACCAACCCCCGGCCCCCAATAGAATAGAGGTTAATGCCTCGTGAAAGTAATTACTGGCAAAGCCATACTCCGTAATATCAGAAAAAATCTCACATAACGTAGATCCGCCGGATCCCCAATGAATGACCTGCTCGACTATTTTTGAATATGTCCTGTTTTCCGGCAGGGATATTTATGTCTTACATTTAGTTTTTTTACACTTTCGGTGACAGCATTAAAAAGTGTATCCACAGCCTTTTGCTCCAGGGGATCGTAGTTCAAATTCGTATGGGGAGCGGGGGAGGGTTAGATTAGAGGGAGGGGGACTGCGAACGCCCGTCCCATGAAGCGCCAGGGAACCATGCATTCCTCCCCTCCGGCTCCGGCTCCGGGGGCTGGGCTCAGGGACTGCAATCAGCCGCTTCCCCTGTAGTCGTCAGCTCGTTCTTGACAGATCCGATCGGGTGTTCATAATCTGGAGTAAAAGGATTCGAACCTTTGCATGCCGGTACCAAAAACCGATGCCTTACCACTTGGCTATACTCCATACGGCCTTGTTTTGGACGATAAAGTAAAAAAGGAGAGGGGGACGGGAGAAGCAGGGCTCGAAGAACGAGCCGTGCAAGAACGCGGGGATATAGCAAGTAAGCAGCAAGTTCTCTCTTCACGGACCGACTACAACAAGCCAAGCTCGCGACTCTAATAGAAAAAGACGGTAAGCTCTCTGCTCTATTTGCTTGCAATGCGTTTACCTATCAAAGTAGGCGAACGCTTCTGTAACCTTAGACTCGTTACGCTGTTCGACTGAACTCGTTGGTTCCGCGTCCGCGCTCTTACTATTTAGATTTCCAAGCGGAACCCGGTTTGAGAACCTTCTCTCATATATTCCTTTCACCAAGTCATCGCCAGCAATCAGCTCTTATCCCTTGGTGTGGTGTCAAAGGGCGAGTTCCTTTCTTGTCTTGCCCAAAAACTTGCTTGATTCTCATTGGAGAAAGACTCTCCCGCGGCAAGGTTTGACACATAGGGCCGGCTGCTTTCTTTATCTCGCTTGCCGTTAGCCTGATAGAGGGAAAGGCGCTAGCCTTTCTTTCGGTTGGGGTCCGTCCCGGGGCTTAGACCGCTTGGGTTCTATTTTTCTCGAAGGCAGTCAACGTGCACGATAACTAAGGCATTCCTCTCCCAGATGTTAGACTTGTAAATCCTTTGCTCTTTTTCCTTCTCTCTTCCAGTTCTCTCCCTCTACTTTATTTGACAGGGGCGGAGAAGACCATTCTATCAATAAAAATAAGACAGTAGCAATTTAGTTTCAAATGGTTTGAGCTTGGAAGCAACCTACTATCTATCGATAGGCTAAAACTGCTATTGGCTGCTTTGCCTATCTATTCTATTATGGCCGGCTTGGAGACATCAGAGGAAGACCGTCATTTCTATCCGGGTACGATCATAGCTTCATTCATTCGTTGAACCTTGGGGATAACCATTAGCATTGAGGTCAATCACCACACCACCTCTATCATACATACGACATTACATGACGCGAGAGTGCATGGTCAACACACACCTACCTAAAGCGCCTACGTTCCGCTTGCAGCCAATACAAGCACAACCTAACTTGCACGAGATTCAACAACCGAAACTACTGGTAGTCCCGAGGGGACGGGACGGCATCCTCCTATACTATAATAGTTAGCAGTACTGAACAAGCGAGTCATCGGTCGGGGGAAAGAAAAGGACCGCCTTTAAAAATAAAAAATTATATTATATTTTAAAATGCAACGATGACAATCATGTGAAATGATGACTACCGTGCAAGCCATCAGATTAAGGTTTATCTCCGCTTTTACTTCATAGCATGAAGGGTTATGCTATCTATTCATGAGGCCATTATATGGCCGCCAGAGATCACTGTAATGCTCGATAAACGACCCCGATCCCATCGTCGATGGTCATAAAATGGCGATAGAAGCACCAAAAGCAGCGGTAGAATCGATGTATTGATGCCCACGGATCCCGGATATTGCTTCATCCAACCCCATCCACTACCCATGATGACAGGACCCCTCGGCCAAGGAACCGACCCGAAACGGGCGATTCCTATCCCTGGATTGGATGTCTACCACCTCTTAAAAATTTAAATTAAATGGGCTAGCTAAGGGGCAAAAGAGTAGTAGGCTTTCAAAGAATCCCCTTCCCTGCTGTCTGTCCTTTCCTTTTTTGTAGGAAGGGATTTTCAAAGCGCCTACCTTACCTTAATAGCATGTCAGCTCCTGATCTGAACAAAGACTGAAGTCAGATCCATCTCATCGAAGTAAAAAAGAGCTATCTCGTCCGAGTCCCATCCCGGATCTTCTCTCTAGGAGCCTAAAAAGGTAATATGCCATCTCACCCATGCCAATCCGCTTATGAGTTATTTTCTTATTCCTTCCGATTTATTTATTTTCTTCTTATTATTCCACGTACGATACATAGAGCCTATCCACCTCCTTTGCGGAATACCAGATCCAGAGATGAATTAGCGGATCACAGGGCTAAGTCGAAGCATGCCTGAACCTTCTTTAGTAGTGAGCCGTACCGAGTAGCTCCTAGCAAGGGCTTCAAGATCACAGTAATGCCTGCCAAAACTTTCCTGGGGTACGAATGTCATGTTCAAAGCTGCTTTCTCATGACACCATGGAAAAGATCACTGACGAGCTCAATCTCTAAGTGTTAAATTGTAAGTTTCCTCCTCTTTTTGAGCCTGAGAGATCATATGGGTCAACAATTCTCATTTCTTAGTTACAATAAATAAGCCCTTCTCAAGGAAGTGAGCCAAGAGCCACTCATCTGAGCCAGCGGATTCTAATTCTGCTGTGCCGGTGCGCAAAGCAAGCACGCTTAGACTGCGATGTGCAATCTTTGGTCTGCCTATCATTGTCCATTAAAGGCTGACTCCGCTAGGCAAGAGGACCACTACTGGGATTTTTCAACTACTAACTGATGACCGGAGGACTACTCTCCTTCTTCCACTATTGATATTGACTGACCTGTTGAGAGGACAATAAAAAGAAAAAAAAAGAAGTGGAGTTTGGTTATGTTCGAGTGTGTAAGCATTTATTTCCTCGGTCGATTCGTCTGCTCATTCAGCCTATAATTCTTATCCAATTGCTTCTTCCATTCCAATAAGTCTTATGAAACGAATTCGGCAGGAGATAGGCATTCGGATTCGTTACTTGGGGCTGATGAGGGTAAGGAATCCGTTGTTTCGGGATAAACTTGATATCTTAGTTTGGCCTCGGCTTCAAGGGAAGAATTCCTCTTCAGCCGGTTCAGATTGAGAGGGAAAGAGCAGCCCTAGGCTCCGCTTCTTAGAATGATGCCTGTTGTATGATCTATCGGATTTTTTTATTCTATTCTCGGTGCTGTTTTTCAGCGAATGAAAGAAAGCGCTGATTCCGCAGTTCCTTCATCAGATTTGGGTGCTTTTTGAAAGAGCTGCTTCTGCGAATGACTCAACGGATACTACTTTAAAATTTCCCATATATATATTCATTTAAGGAAATGGGCATTCAAGCCCTGCCCCCTCTTCCGATTAACGCACCAAAGATGGGAACTGTTTGGATTGAATCAGACTCTCAAGTCTTGGTTCAAACTTTCAAGCAGTCAATCAAGCAGCACTGACCGCTATTCCATAGATAGCATAGAGCTCTTACACAGCGCCTAATAGGCTAGCTTCACTATAAAGTAAAGGCTTGATTTACCCGTCCTTTGTCTTCTAGTCGCATCTTCGGATTCGGAATCGGAAGAAGGGAATCGAATGACATTCTTAAGGGGTCTCTGCCTTTTAAGGTTTCTTTCTCCTTTTGTTGGCGGGGGTCGGCGGCTTAAGTCTTTGCCTGGTATGACAGTTTACTTTTCTTCACTGACAGCATTTCTTAAAAAAAAGGGCGACCTTCCCTTCAATTAAATTTTTCAGGCTCACTCCTGTCTCGCAAAACCACTGGTCGTTCGCGGAACACTTGCAAGATTACCCTCCACTCATGGTAAAGATACCTAACTTCACTTGCTCCACAGTCAACCATTGGTTTTGCGAGATAATAGTGGGGGCCTAAGAGAATAGTAGATGTCGGCATTTCAGCTCCTAAAGGAAACAACAGTCTTATCTTTCTAAGGTGCATTTCTGTCCATATAAGAGTATATTCTAGCAAACCAAGGGAGACCCAAGCAGCTTTTTTGTCCTAACAGGGGATTCATTCGTTAAAGCAGTTCTGGCATATGCCTCTTCCTTCTTTCAAAGATCGGATTCAATAGCTGTGGATTCTGTGCATCCATTCAAAGATAGTACATTCAATTAAGAATGAAGTATGTGAGTCTTTATTCTAAATAAAGATTAGAGCGAGCTCTATCAGTCCAATAAAAAGACAAGCCATAGAGGCTTCCTATTGAGTAAGATTTCGCTAATATGGGCATTTGGGGATCCCTTTCATACTATATATAGATATTATAGCATCTTATTTTAGGCATCTTTCTTCTAGTCTCCTGCTCGTACATTAACAAGGGAAGTTGTCCTTCAAAGAGCGTATTTGAAAACAACAGTCAAGGAATCAGTCCCAACAGCGTCTACGTTAACAAAGGATACTGTAACAAGAAAAGTGCTTACTCCACCAGCTGCTCCTCACAACCGAGTCTGGCTATCTTCCGGTTCCGATTCCGGGGACTGGTATCCTTACTTAGGGTATTACCCCTAATACGGCTACTCTCACTGCGGTTATGAAATCTCGACGCGCTACCACCGCTTTATTTAAGAAAAAACTAAACTAGAGCTGGAAGAGCGGGAACTGAGACTGCACCAGTGTCAAGTCATCGGAAGAATAAAGGCATTCCCGATACAGCAAAGAAGCCTTTTGATGGAGCTAGCTATATCCCATTTTTGCAAAAAAAATCGGATAATAGCCGAACTCAAAGCTCTTTATCCCGAAGACGAATGGGACTTTTCCCCACTCATTCGGGATAAATTCTTCGGGGGCCGACAGGTGAATCGCGAATATTCCCTTAAATTCCTGGATCAAATGCGAGAGGATTTAACTACAAAAAAGCAGCAAGCAAGCTGTGCCACCCGCCTTCACCGTCAAATTAATACGTGGAATTTAAGGGAAGAATTCGATTTCCCTCGCTACCTCTGAACGGAAGGGCCCCCGTCATGTAGTAAATATGTATCACATCATACAATACATGAGGAGAGAGAGTAGGGTGGGTCTCTTCTCATTGGGCCCGCTTGGACATTGAATCGGTTCTGATCTTCGCTAAAAAAGTAAGGCCTTACTTGACGAGTAGAACTTAGTTACCCGCTTATTGGGATCTGAAAGAAGCCTAGTTTCTTTGCTTTCTTTCGCCCCAGGTCGGGGAAGAAAGGAGCTAACTGTATTCTTACTGCTAGCAATCAATCATTACAGCTTTTTGCATAAGGGAAGTAAGATGGAAGGCCAAGGGCCTAGATGAATGTTATTCGACTTGAATGATTAAAATTTAGTCGAAATTAAGTTGGTGTTAAGTCTACCGAGAGCGTACTCGTACTATAGCCTGAGGATGGACGTAGTTCAGGAGAGCAAGGAGGAATAATTCTATCAAATGGCAAGGAGAAAGGAGTATTTCAAGCATTTCAAGGAGGACTATTTCAAGCCATCTAGTTCCATTCCTTCGCCTTTTCAGGCAGTCTTCGTACCATTCCCGGGTGAGAATATAGATGACCAATGCGAGTAAGGGTATCAAGTGATATACGATTTTTTTTTTCCTGGAACCACTCTTCTGAGCCTGTTCTTATGGGATTGGGGTCCCTCTTTTTGCTGTGAAGGGTTAGCCCCGTAAGTCCATCTCTTAAGTCCATCTCTGGGGAGTTCTCTTGCACTTATAGCTCCTTTCATATCTTCTGCCTTCTCTTCTTTTTCCCAGCCAGCTGGGAAATTTTCTGTGAGCAAGCCTCTTTCTTCCTTTGCTGTGGGACGAGGCCAGTTCTCTTAATCCATCCAGAGGGAGTACCCCATAAGCCAATGCCATTCCATTCATTTCCCGTTACCAGCCATTAATTAGGAATTGGGAGTTCTGTC